ATTATTATACTTCTGATTATGTGCCCCTGGTAGGCCAAAATTATTTATTGTGTTATTTCGTCAAAAAGTAGCATCCGGAAGTTGTCAGTGTTTCATTTCCATGCTTTAGAAAGCTCATAAAGCACATAAAGCCATGGGTCTTGTGCTTGATCTCTCTGCGGTTATGTTTGAGAGTTAGGGAATAGAGAGTGCACTTGTATAGCATACACTCGTGCACTATAAACCCTGTCCTGCGCTGATTAGAATAGAATGGAATAGAATAATTTTTATTCAATATAGATTTCAAGTAATTCTCATTGAAAGTCAATTTCTTACTTTACCACTGGTTCGAAAAAAAACCTCTGTCCTGGGAAGAAGCAGCTAGAAACCCAGCGGGACTTAAATAAATTTTACAATGTCAATGATCACAAAATATTTACAAAATTAATTTTAGAAACAGCTTGGAAGCGACCACCTCATTCCCAGGGGTTATTATCAACCATGTATTAATTTACATCGTAATAACCCTTTATATACAGATTTTGTTTAGTTAAATGTTTAAACTTGGTAACAGAGAGACCTTGTATAATAATACTGAATACTGACAGCTAGTCTCCATTGAAACCACCTCCGTGACTAAAATTCGGTCAAGAGTATTTTTTTTGTACACACTTGCGCAACTAAAGATCATGTGTATCCGTTTCGTTCCCTGAATACATGAATGAATCAGTTGCTAGAAAAAAAGACGTACAGGCTAATTAGCACGTGAATATAATATGTGTTCAGCTTTATTTCTGACGCGTGAATGACGTAGAATATTCTTTAAATATCGTTGATGCCAGGTGAGCTATTTCAATTAAAGCGAATAATATTTTAATGTTCAATTACTAAAACGCTACTTAATTTTAAGATGCCATTAAGTTTCGTGCTTTTACTTTAAGTCAGTGACTGTGACACCACGAGGCTTAACGACATCTTAAAAGTTTCTTCGCGTAAATATAAGAAGTCATTATTGTAAACTTATCGAAATTCTCAAATATTTTTATGAAAAATAATATAGGTGTCAAGGTTAATAATGAAAATATTTAATCTATTGATATAATTACACCTAGACATTACCTCCCACATTTTAAGGTTGGTACAGCAGTATAGGCAAACCATCTTTTATTGATAGCTTGGGGTATGAAATATGATTTATCAAAATGTTCGGAGCAAATGAGTAGTCCGTTTAAGTATCCAAGATTCATGATTTCTACAAGCTGCAATCCAAGTCTGCCACCAAAGAGGATCTCTTGGAAATATGTAAAACAAACCAATAATAGAATAATTTACTGCTTTGTAATACTTTATTAAAAAATCTAAACAAAAAATAAAAACCTGTTCGACAGACAAACCTGAATGGTTCATTAGACTTATCGATAGCTAAAGTTGTGGAGTATTTGGCCATTAGAAATTTAAATTTAGAAAAATGTGTACTTTGCAATCTGGTTTTCGACCAGAGTCCCTCACATTTCACTGTTTTGTAGAAAATTAAGAAGGTACGTCATAATGGTCACTGTCAGCAGATGAAGTTACGAGTGTGCTAGTACTTAGCGATCACATTACAGTTGGATTTCACCTACTATTATGACTGTTCCGTTACTGCCTATTAAAGTCCACTGCTTAACACAGGCCTCCCCCATAGATTGCCACATAGGGGGAATATTTGCCATAGTTGCCACGCTTGGCAAGCGGGTTGGCATACGCAGTTTTATTTTTATTTTTAGTCGTTACTGGGAAGACGCTGCTGCCGCTCTCATGATTAGTTTCCCTCTGTCGCCTCTTACGACATCCACGGGATGATATGGGGCAGCGGATTTTCTTGCACCGCCAATACGCGGTTATATTATTAGGCATGGCATGGTAAGATATTTATTATACATCTGTGCGATGATCCAGGTGATGCAGATTTTCCGACACTGCCCTCAGTTCAGACGGCAGTTCAGACGTATCTCCGGAGATTTAGATACGACGTTAGGTATGCTGAAGTGTATACTCGTAACATCGCCACTTTTAAGAAATAACTGATAAGTGGCGATGTAAGAATATCCACTACCCCGTACCGTCTCGTGGGTGTCGGAAGAAGCGTCAGATGGAAATTGAATCAGGAAATAGCAGCATCTCTTTAAAACAATTCAAAATAATATCAAGTGGTAAAATTAAAATAATTTGTACAACCGACTTCAATATACATAAAATGAGAACATCATCAATGCATTCCAAGTCAGTTAAATACGCATTATTTAAGTATAACTCAATAACTACTTGTCAGATATTGATCAAATTTATATGGGACCACACGAGAAGCACCAGCTGTCAGATAAAAGAGAATCATCAAAATCGGTTTACCCAGAAAAAAGTTTTAAGGTAACAGAAAAAAATCATGCAGTCGAATAGAATACTTCTCCTTTTTGAAGTCGGTGGAAAAACCAACCCGCCTGCTAAGCGTGGCCGCTATGGCAAAATCAAACGCAATCTATGGGGAGACGTATGTTCAGCAGTGAATCTCAATAAGCTGTAATTTGGACAAATTTAATTTTACCTGAGAGTTTCTATTGCTGTTTTTCGTACTTTAAAAACTGTCTAACGGTAAATTACCATAAAATTGTTACCCATTTTCCTAGAAACCAATTATATACTTACTACAATAGAATTAAATAAGAATTATCGCTAAATAAAAAATCGGCGTAATCGATCAAACAAACTAGTAGATTACATACATTAAAAATATAGCCGAATTGATATATCACTAGAATGCCGCATAGTATATCAGAAGATTAATCTCAATTTTATCTCCATACCTTCGTCGCCTATCAGCACAGTTAATACAGTACTTAAGTCTCAGGATGAACATTAAACGACGTCTCTGAAGACGAAATCACGCGGCATTTTGGCAGTGAATGAGAATTAACATGGCGTTCCGTTGTAACGAATTGTATGGAGATGGTTATAAAGATGCAAGCGACGGAGTAACTCTAGAGTGCCACTGATAAGTGAATTTAATAGGATAAGGAAAATTATACAGTAAAAAGCAATACTTTTTTTGATGATATTCGAGATTTATAATAAAAGAATGTCTTATTTGATAGTTAAGTTAGATCGCCAATACTTACCAAGATAGAAAATTCGTGGCCTAATACGCTGCTCAATTTTAAGTCAATTTGCTTTAAGTAAAGACACTTTGAATTTAGGAGTGTTTTTCCGAATATAGGAAATATCTAAGTTAAATATAACCTTAGCCAAAGGTTCTAATGTGTGCTGTCTTAAATGCGTCTAAAGTCGCATGGTCTGATCTTCAACAAAACCTTTATTCTTATATCTTTTTTTTATAGAATAAGGGTGACAAACACACAGTCCACCTGATAGTAAGTGGTTGCTGTGGCCCATAGACATCTAAATCTATCCTCTATTAAGGTTCAAGATGCAGATGCGTTGCCACCCGTGAGGACTAACATGGAATGTCTCGTTTACAGGAAACACAGCAACATTGAACTCCTATTTGACGCTGGTATCCTGTCAGAGCGTGGTCCTTCCCCGGTCGAGCCTACCCATTCGTGCTGCAATCATAATATAGCTGCAGCAAGGCTCTACCACGTATAAAATTGCAATTGCATTGGTTTAGCTTCTGACTTTTAACCCGACTGGCCCAGAAGTAGGATAATATTTTTCGAGAATATGTATGTATGTCTATTTCTATGTCACGCTCTGTATTCTAAACGTTTTGACGGATCTTACATATGGAGTGTCCTTAAATTCCTTTTAACTATGCAATGAAACATTCTACATTACATAGTGACATCTTATGTAATGTAAAATGTTTCTTTTTTCACTTAACTTTTTTACGCAGTCGGATTTTTCATTACTATTTTAACCTTTAAGTTTTTGTTGACATAACACTTGAATTTTACTTAACATTCTTGCTTGCTTTGTGTTGTATGAAATCAAAAAGAGCACAAAATTTACTAATTTTTGCAAACCATGTCAATACGGTAATACACGAATCATAAATCAGTGTCAATGTGACGACACGTTAACATTGTCACGCCTGTCAGTTAAGCCACTTTGTTAAATGGCAGCCATCTTGGAAACTCCCCACATAACCGTTTATCGGTAAGGAAGAGATTACCGCTCCCTTGGCGCGCTAACCGGTTACCACACTTAGCGAGACTTATTACGTACGCAACGCCTTTATTTTATTCGCTAATAACACGTAGCTTATCGTCTCTGACGTCAGAATGTCTGGTATTACATGAAACTCTCTAAATTGAGTAAACCATATATATTCTATATATAAAATGGAATAAGAGCACGAATTCACATCACTGGAGTAAAATTATATGGTTGTAATAATTTGACAAAATGTTTTATTTTATTTTAACGTTAAAAATATTTCATGATGCCACATCAAAGGACCAGTAATACCTCTAATTTGTTTTCTGAGTGATTTTCGGTACAGTAGTGTGTTTCGTTCTGAAGAGTATTGGAGCCAGTATGTATATCTAACTTGCTGTGATACATTCCATCTTAGCGCTCTCCTTACGGCGACTATCAGATGGACTGTGAGTTCGTTTATCACAAATTATATCTATTTTAAAAAATATGGTTGTAGCATGATGGGTCGGCTCAACCTCGCTCTCACAGAATATCGGCGTGAAATAGCAGCTCAATGCTGCTGTGCTACGTATGGTGACACCGTGGTGTTGGTTTTTACCGGAGACTCTTTACTGGTGACGAGGCTTTCCATCTTAATCTTCAGGGGCGACAACGCATCTGCAGTTTGATTCTTAATCGAGAATAGATGTAGATGTAAATGGGCCACAGCATCCCCTTAACATTAGTTGGGTTGTGTGCTCGTTTATTACCCTTATTCTATAAAAAAAACAACAGGTATACACATTTAAACAATATTAAAGTGTTTAGCTTAAGCTTAAATTCAATTAATAATAACTTTAATACAACGGAATTTAAAACTTTTTCACTAGCCCTTCGACAAATGCTACATCGGAGCGACAGCGGAGTTAGACGAGGAGAGAGTTTTTTGCGGTCAGATGGCAGCAATTTATCTCTTCGGCGAAGCGCTCACGACGCACCAGATCTGCGCTATGCACCGACTTGGACCTGGATATAAGGTATATTGATGAACTTTGATTTTACTGCGGTATTCAAAGCAGCAAATATAATAGTTAAACTATGTTAAAAATTCTATTTATAAAAACTATTTTATATCCTTTTTTAGAATAGAATAGAATTCCATATACAGGGTTATTTTTCAAACAGTAGACAAATTTTAAACTTAAGTTTAAATATATAAAAATTTAAATACCATTATTGCAATTTTTGAAAATACGACTAAATAAGGCTTCTTATTTTATTCAAAATTGTCTCAAATTGAATGTGATTTATGGGCAACAACGTTTTTGTCTGCCGATAGACCCTTACAAATGCATTTAAAATTGAATTTGAAAGATAAAAAGGACAGAATGTTTGAGATTTATTTTCACAAATTTTTCTGTATTGTTTGCCTATATTAATCATTCTTAACCTTATCCACAAATTTGGCCAGTTAATGTAAAATAACCCTTTATACTACAAGATTACTAATTGAAAGTCATTTAAGCTGACCACTGATTTGGAAAAATCCTGTCCTGGGAAAAACTAGCAAGAAACCCAGCGTGTTTTTTTAAACATTAATTTACAATTTAATATTTAATACAATTTTCCTTTAAAGCTAATATTATAACAATTATAAAAAATACTTTTAAACTAAATTAAATTATACTGTTAGAAATTTTATAATTATATTTATTTGAATTATATTATATATTATTTATAGAAAAAATTAATTTAAATACTGTTACAAATTATAGTAAAATACTCATTACTATAATTTCTAACAGAGTAAATATTTTTATCCCATTATTAATTGAAAAAAATATGTGTTTTTTCTGCTAACCATGGACACAGAGCCAATTTCGTTTCGACAACGAATGCAACATCAGTTTACCGGAAAACCACAAAAGGGTGAGCGAGTCGGCCGCGATCAAGCTTGAATACGCTGAAATCCCGCCAGAACCCAATCCTGATTCCCAAACTCCCGACCATAATCCCCCTGATGCTTCGCAAGAAGATACTAAGGCAGCAAAGAGCGAAGAGAATTGTGTAGTTGTTAAAGAAGACGCGACGCCTCGAGGAAAGCGCATGGCAGACGAAGCGCGCGAAGTTGCCGCAGCGCATGCGACCCTGCTCGTAGATATTGAAGCATGCAAGCGTGTAAGCATGACGCGCCGCTTGCTAAACGTTTCAGTTTTTATGTGTTCTCTTTTATGCTTTCCTTGTAGCCAGAATTGAAATCGATAGAAGACTTGAGAATTACTATAAAATTGATTCAAGTAAATTAATTAATGTTATTATTAAATAAACTAAATTGCAGATATTCCTAAAAGTAGAAAAAAATGAAAAAATTAAAATTGATTTGTGTATTTGTCGAATACTTTAGAAATCGATAAATTTATTTATAAAGCAACTTCTCGATTGTACGACATTAGGTAACAAAATACTTCAACCTCAGTCCCTAGATTATTAACCCTCATTTATCGCAATACCTTGGAAACATTTTCTCCTACTGTAACAGTAAGCAAGTTTGTTTTCTTTTGCAAATTATAATAGTAATTCTCAAGTACTTCAGTTGATTTCTCATCACAGCGATTGGTGTTCGTAACTTTAACATCCATTGGTATTGTCCGTATGATGCCAGGGTCAGTTCCGTTTCGACGCAGAGTGTCGCGTTCCGCTACCCTCCACAGAAGTACGTGTTGATAAATATGGAGACCTCATCCACGATCCAACGCAGAACATACATGACGTAAGATATTCAATACCCGATCATGAGACATATGTATGGTGTTCTAATTCTGGTCAGAAATACTAAAATTCTAACACTAGGTATCTTTAAATGGGTCTGAAATTCGTTGTGCATGAATTAAAACAAAATAAAACTTTGATTTAATTTCTCCTTGTGTGCAGAAGATAAATCGTTTTCTTCTTTCACAACTATCTAACGTTTTAACAGAAATAACCTTCTTAGAATCTGCACGACTAAATTTAATCGCTGCTAATTAATTAAGCGATATTAAAGATATATATATATATATTTTATATATATATATATATATATATATATATATATATATATATATATATAGGAGATAATTCATAATTTGTGGCATTTCTTGGGGGAGGTGTATGTCAACAGTAAACTTGTGGTGGAGTTTTATGATGATGATGATGTAGTAATAATAATTATGGCAGTTAAATTTAGCAAGGAATATTGTAGATTTTGGTTGGGTACTAAGCTCCAAAGTAGTAATACACATATTATATTCCTACGGCAGTTTAAATAACTATCCGGTGCAATAATCATTTGAGTAGTAAAATGAGAGATTGAACAGTTTGATAAATCGTGCGTCAGTTCACGGCATGCCGTATTTATTAACTGAGTACCTTTATTACAAGCATAGATACGAGGGGTGAACCAAAAGTAATGATAATGAAAATAAAACACGGTAATTAAAGTTAAAATAATAATTTATTTTTCTACATAGTCTCCTAACAAATCAATACATTTAGTCCATCATTTTTCTAAACCCAGGATTCCCTTTGAAAAAAATTCTTTGTCTTGACCCTCCCAAAACGCTTCAACAGCGGCCATTACTTCGCTATCGTCTTCGAATTTCTTGCCTCGGAGGCGTTCCTTGAGCCGAGGAAAGAGGTAGAAGTCACTAGGAGCTAGATCTGGCGAATAGGGAGGGTGTTCGAGCAGTTCGAATCCCGTTTCTTGAATGGCAGCCATCGTAACTGCGGCTTTGTGAGCCGGTGCGTTGTCTTGGTGAAACAGCACTCCAGCTCGCAGTTTGCCGCGTCTTTTTTCCTTAATGGCTTGAACGTCCCAAAAAACAGATGCCATAACCTTTCCCGCCGAACTTGAAACTTTGAATTTCTTTGGCGTCGGTGAGGAGGCTCGCTTCCAAGTCATCGATAGTTGTTTCGTTTCAGGATCAAAATGGTGGATCCAGGTCTCGTCCATAGGCTTTTGGACTGAAATTTTCTTGATCTGCTTGGAACGTTTCGAGTTTGACCCTCGAAATATCAACTCGATTTTTCTTTTGCTCGTCGGTGAACATTCTGGGTACCCAACGCGCAGAGACCTTTTTCATATGCAACTCGTTCGCAACGATTCTTTGAACGCTGTCATATGAGATCCCTGTGACCTCAGCTACATGCCTGATGGTCGCTCTTCGATCTGCCAACACAACATCTTCGACTTTTTTCACGTTGTCTTCAGTGATGGACGTGGATGGGCGGTCCTTCGCGATGTTCATCTTCAGTGGATGTTCTGCCCAGTTTAAACTCCTTGGTCCAGCGTGCAACTGTAGAATATGGAGGAGCAGAGTCCCCCAATGTTTCCACTAAGTCATTGTGTATGTCTTTTAAAGACATTTTTTTCAAACAGAGATACTTGATGACAGCTCTAATTTCGTTTTTCTCCATGTTGATGTCATCTCTTTGACAGTTCGTATTTTTTAGGCTGACGTAGTAACTATATAAGCAAGCAAAAATATTTTTTTTGGATTTTTATGCGGACCTGAAGCAACCGATTATCATTACTTTTGGATCACCCCTCGTATAAAACAAGTAATATCAACGACAGTAGACGTATTTTCAAAGCCGCGGTCATTTACATTTATTTCGTGATGAACTGTGTGCGTTTTCATTCTTATTATATAAAAAAGTTATAAATATGCTTATCCTTACTTTTTTGTGTACTGCTTAGGATTTAGTTGCTCCTCATGCACTTTTGCCCTATTAATATTTTATAAAACAATTGAATTTTCATCAATTCAAATAATTATAATTTCTCACGCGATTTCTGTTTTTACTGTTTACTAGCTTGCCAGGCAGACGTTGTTCTGCCCTTTTCGACGACCCTTTATCATGTCCTATTAAAAATCCTTAAATTCGCAAAAAAAAATTGTGTGTCACTCGTGGGCAAAAAAAACATATAAATAAAATCATATCTCTCAAGTTGGACCAAACTGCACACGGTGTGCAAATTTGATTAAAATCGGTTAAGTAGTTTAGGAGTCCATCGCGGGCAAACAACGTGACACGTAATTTATATACATTAAGATTAAGATGTACCGTTTATATTTAACTGTTCAAACCTTTTTTAAACATCTTCAAGTGTATTTTATTACGAACTACTTAAATAAAAAAAATATAATTTCAACCTGTAGATATATACGTTCTACTCCTGGGCACAGACTTGCTCATTCTTGAGAGGGCTTTAGAACTAGGAAGTTTATTGCGAGAAAGCATCCATACACGTACACATATTATACTAATTTAAGAGAACTCCCAAGGGTAATTTCTAGGACCTCCGTTATACATTATTGATTAACGACCGGGGAGTCATTAAATTAACTTGGTAGAGTTGTTGCCGGACTATCAGAAAGTTTGCGATTCAGTTGTGACAGTGAAATAAGATTTGTTTTGATATTTTAAATAAATATTTGTAAACAATAAATATTACAAGACTTTTTACAAAAACTTAACACGTATTTATCTTGAGCTGTTATGGTTCGGATAATTATTCTATTGTGTGCTAGTGATCCTGATCATGATACTAGAATAAAGTTCTTAAATTATTGTATTGTTTTTGTTTAGGATAACGGTGACAAACGAGCACACAGTCTACCTGACGGTAAGTGGTTACTGCGACCTATAAACATCTACATCTATCCTCGATTACAAATCTAAATACAGATGCGTTGTCACCCGTAAGGACTAAGATGGAATGCCTAGTTTCAAGTAAAATGTGTTTCCGGTTCTCTACACTCACTATACGAAACACAGCACCGTTAAGCTACTGTTTTACGCTGGTATTCTGTGAGGGCGTGGTCCTTCTATGGTCGAGCCGACCTATTGGTGCTGAAACTATACTGGCTCTTCCACGTGTCATAGGTCTTTGATACGAGTGCAAGTGTTTCAAGCCAGTCGGCCGTCTACAAATTGGTGAAAATTACATTAAAAAATTCCGTTATATGGATAGATACACGCGAAGCTGATTTTATCAGCTAAATATAAAACAGATAATAGAAAACTCTGATAAGTATAATATTTAAATTTCGTTTCGCCATTATTTTGAAACTATAGAAACGCATTATTTTTTGAAAGTATTACAGTCTCACGATATAAGCCAGATATATACACAAAATAACTAGTTAATAAGTTAATAACTAATCATCTAATCAATTTATATGGACGAATAAAATCATTTCGCAGTTTCTGCTAAAATACACATTGAAACGTTATGCGTCGTGCAGTTCAACGACCTGAAACAATGGTATGAGACGACAGACGCCATGTAAATAGGAAGCGAATCTCCGTTTTCCGTCTGTTAGCGTCCGTAGTTACGTCACTAAGGAAGTGTAGAGAAGCTAGCTTATATCAACAGAAAATTTATTAAGAACGTGAAGGACAAACGAAAAGTAAAAGCCGTCTTCAAGCAACTATGACGGCCCCGTGGCGCAGTGGTTTAGCAATGAGTTGCGGTTCTGATGGTTGCGGGTTTGAATCCCGCATGGAACAGTTATTTGCATGGCCTACATATAACTGTTCCGGGTCTGGATGTTTGTCTTTGTGCAATTTATCTTTGTAAACTGCCTCCACGATACAGGAAATAATGGTAGTTAATAGTAGTAGTGGTGGGGGTAATGTTTTTTTTAAAATAAAAACTAGACTATGAAATTAATTCATTTAAGTATTGAAATCTGTACTAAGGCATAGTGTATAGAGGAACTAAAAGCCCCGACTTCAGAATGTGAAATTATTTTGTATTCTTGTTAGTTTTTTGAACTTGGCATTTCCTTTTTATTAAAATTTGATTTTTGTCCCTTTTGAGTTGACTAAGACATATCACAAACTGGAATGTCGTGTAAATAGTTTCATTAAAAAACTTCACCCTCTTTTTTCCAGCCTTAGGGTTGGAACTTTTTCTTTAGTAAATCTATCGGACTTCGGACCACACCTGAAGTATAATCCATTTTATAAAAAAATATATCAAAATCGGTTCACAGTGACGGCATCCACGACTTTCTGCCACCAGGGCAGCGCCATTTTCAAATGAGTTGAAATATTTGACAGATTTTATAGCGGGCAAGTTAATTTCTGAGAAAAATAGGTTATCATTTCTTTCTGTGCAATTAGATGTA